TTAATAAAGAGAAACGTTTTGCTAATTAGAAAACAGAAATGCATTGTTATCATGTATTCCAAAATAATTATCTGAACATAATTGCCTCCAAAACTGAGTTAAATTATATCTTAAAGACACCTTAGTTTTTCTTGTAGAGACCGATACTTTCAATTTTAATATTGCTGTGAGAACTTAATTTTGCTAAAAATAATTACAGTTAAATATTTAGAGCACTTGTACAGAGGCCAGTAAAGGAGGTATTCAGAGAATTGACATGTTACATAAGTGGATTTTTAAATATAATGTATTGCCTAAGTATCAGTAAACATGAAACATCAGAGAAAATAGAGGTGGAGAAAAAGCTTCATTTTTGTAGTTTTTTTTTTTTTTTTGTCTTTTTCATTTTTATCAGTACCAGGGATCGAACTCACGACCGCCTGCTTGCAAGGCAGGTGCTTATGCCGCTGAGCTAAATCCCCAGCCCTTTTTGTAGTATTTTTAAAGTGAGCCTGTTGATTAAAGATTTTCTTTGATAACATATATTGAATAAAATGATTAAGACCCTTTGATTTCTCTAAATGTCCATTGAAGAAAATCTTGGTTGAATCAGCTTTTTCAATATTAAAATTTATTTTATTTTTCTCTGAAATTAAAGTACACATAAAATCATTTGTCTGGTGCATGCAAGTGAAAATAACTAGTAGGGCTTGTCATTACATGTGTTAACAAATAAATGAGAAAACTGTTATATTTCAGTGCATAAATCATAAATCAATTCTATCAGTTTCTGAAATGAAATGTTTTGCTCCCTCTATAATTTGTCAGTATAATGCCTCAAAAACAAATTGAAACAACCAAGATTTTAATACCCAAAAAAGTTTTAGAATACTAGATCATTTCATGGAGGAAGACAATTGTCACCTTTGCTATTTGTAATGCTCATTTTAATGAAGGAGTGATTGGAAAGAGACTTTAATTTTGTCTAAACAAAAAGATCAAGAAAACTTGGAAATGTCATTATACATCATTATTTTAATGTGGCTTTTAAAAAGCTGCTCTCTTCCAATTATGTTATTTTATAGTATGCTAGAACACACGTAAAGTGTAACATTGTCTGATAGTGTTATAATAACTTTATTTTGTTGATTAGAGGGCATACGGCTCCTATACTTTATTAAAATCCAATACTTTATTAAAATAGCAGTTTAGTTTGGTCATTTATTTATTAAAAATTGCAAATGGAAAAAACTTGTATTATGTTTGCTAGTTCATAAGCACAAACCTATTGTTGGATGTATCTATTTTTTATTTTTTCTACATGCCTAGTATCTAGAAATATAGAAACTTAAGGATTTATTGTATATATTAGCATTCTAAAATTTTACTAGATTAATTAGAGCTAAGCAATATTTTTCCTAAAAATGATACCAAGGCTTTAAAATCAAATAAATTTTTCAACGTGATACTATTGCAGGTTCTCAAATATGTCTTCATTATAATATATGCTTACCTCTGGAGTTTTTATTCATTTTTATTTTTTTTTTTTTTAGAAATCAACACTTTTGTTCTCAGTCTCTTTATAAACTTTCAAGGCTTTTCCAACTAGTTCAATTTCATGTATTCATTGATTTATATATTGCATTTATAAATGCAATATATTGCCATTATGTTTCTTGCTTGGGCTGGGCACAGGAAATACAAAGGTGAACCACTGCCTCTCAACTACTGAGAGTTTTAAGATTTAGCTTATGGAACTATGTGTCAATGAAATAATTAAAATATGTATGTAAAAAGTATTATTTGAACTGTATAGAGTTATAAAAATACTGCTGCCAAGGATCTCAGAAGATACAGAGGCACTAAGAATAAATATTCAGTGTATTCATTTCAATCATGTTTGGATATGACTTTGTGTGACTACTAGAAATAAAATAAAATTTTCCTCATTCCCACTCAGTGTTACAAAATTGCAGAGATGTACCCAATGTCAGGACACTACCAGCAATATAGCAAAGATGAAATGAAATATTAAAAATTCACAAATAACCTTGATTTACACATGAGAAATTACAATGAGTCTCATATTTATCAGGGTTTACTATCATGTATATGTGAAAATTGTGAGAATAAAGATGGGTAACTCCTCTGGTGATCTCAATTTTTAAGTAAATTTGATGAGTTTTTCTGCATTGGAACATTAGCACATTCTACATTTAAAGACAAAAATCCAAATGAGCAATTTTTACACTGAGCATAGAATGTGTAAGTACGTGTTATGATTTGGCTTCTTATTGAAAGTTTTATTGTTCTCCTTAAAAATATAAAATATAAAAGCAGAAAATTGTATTTTAAAAGGTTATATATGTCCTACTCTATTAATGTATTTTAATATTTAGGTAACTGCAAAATTGACAGAATCTTATGGTTTACTTTTCTATAATTTAAAATATTTCATTGCATTTTTGTCTTCTCCTATCACGTAAAATTCTTGCTTTGTTGTAATTTCCTCTTTCTTCAAGTTTGTTACATTTTGATTTTAACAGTGTTTTAGAATTTGGAAATTACTGGTGTTCTTTAATATTTGTCTTTGGAAATTAGTTAAGTTACAGTTTGGAAGACCTTGTGTTTTATATTTAAGAATGTTCCTCTAAAAGCATATATAAGTGAAAATCATACCAGGACTTTTTATTTCTAAGCAGATAATTCAAATAGCAGATTACCCAAGATTAGCTGTTGACATTTAGATTTGCACATTTAGAATGTCAGAATTCATTGAAAACTATCAATCTAGTTTCTGAATTACAATAACACTCCTATTTTAATGTCCAACATTTTTTGTTCCTCTCTGTTCCCATAAAAAAGAGTGTAGTTTTTCTAAAATAGTTATAATAATTACAGGTCTCTTGATAACAAATGATGGAATTTTAAAAATTAATTGAAAAATTAGCAATCTGCTGGTAAAGCTGATTAATAATCAGTTTGCATACATACAACTTTATCATACATTTTTACTGACGTATTTGAAATGTAAGATTAACTTTTTCAGTTTAGTTGCTCTCCACTTCTAATTTAAAGTATGAACTTATTCCAGTCCAGTTCAAAGGTGTGGGATATTTTACATGAATTGACTTTTTATTTATCTCTGCCAACTATTCTTAAATTGAAACACAGTTTTACTTTTATAAGGTTGAGTTATTAATATGCAAATTACATATGTCACATTAATTCCAGCTATTTCTCCCAGTTGACTTTTAATTATTTTTATTGTTTTTTGGATATCAAGATACAGTTCAGCCCACCCTAGTGTTTTCTCTTCATCATTCTTTCCTGTCTGAGATTTATTCTGAAGTGTCATGAATACATTGATGAATAGGAAATGAGAAAATAAAATACCCACTTAAAAATCATGTAAAAGCAGCTTGTGCGCTAATCATAAGCTTCTTGACAAGAAGTCAGTTGTAGAATTGTAAATAATGGACCACAGTCTTAAATGGTGTTTCTTCCCTTGCAATTTAAACCGAAATCATCCAAATCCACTTCTCAGATATGGACATGAGCAGGAATTGGTAATACCTGCCTAGTTGTAGGTGGAAGAGAGAGAAGGGGAGAGAGAGTCTTAAGCCTCGGAGGAACAATCAGCACAGATAATAAGGCCACATAAAAGTAGATGCAAGTGGCTTTACTGCAGGTGTTGTTGAATCTTAAACACCCCCACAATGTACAGTCATTAATATTTCCCAGTTCTGAGAAAAATCCTAACTAGAAAAAGTTAGAACATAGTTGAAATTGGGTTGAAATTTGAGAGTTCAGGATCAATCTCCTGGTGAAAAAAAATGTCATTCTTCAGCACTTAACACATTGAAGGAAGAATTTACTTTTCTTTTGTTCTGTTTTGTTTTGTTTTGTTTTGTTTTGTAGTACCAGGCATCACACGTAGGAGGCCTCTATGCCTGAGCTACACCTGCATCTGTTTTTACTTTCATTTTGGGATAGTTGCCCAGGCAGTCTTTCTTCCTCAGCCTGCTAGTAGCTGGAATTACAGGTGTGCACTCCTGGACCCAGATGAAAGTTGCAGTTTTATCTTTATTGAATTTTTTCTCAGTTAGTTTTGTTTGTTCTTTTGTTTGGTTGGTTTTAGGGTCTTCTGCATATCAAATTATAAATCTGTCAGTTTTATGCAGTTTTTAATGTGTAAGGACTTTTGCTTATTCTTTTAATTGTGTTTTCTAGATAAGTTATGGCTTCAGGTTAATACATTATGCCTCAGAGGATATCCTGATAGCAAACATTTCTTTCAAAAAATGTAAAGTGTAGAGAAAGTGATTAAGTAGAATGTTGAAAAATATTCCTACACTTGGACCTGTTATTTTCACTATATAAATTCAAGGGAAATGGCAACAAAAGATTGGCCAAGATTTACATACAGGGATTTTCTTTTCAGCCTTATTTATAAGCTGGAATAATTGGAATCAAAGTAAATGTACTCAAATAAGAATGTCTTAGCAAGAAATCTTCCTTTATTTGAAGAAAAAATATTTTGAATTAAGATAAGTGCATCAGTAGAAATTTCCAAATTCCTTGTGAGGTTAATGGAAGCACTTGGTTTGTAATTAAGAACATAAGAAGTGATACATGTAAGCAATGAAAGAACTAACCATCTGATGGAGATTTTGGGACTAGCATGGCTCCGGAGAGGGTTTTAAAATGACGATGATAATTCCAAGTGTGGATGTTTTGGAGACTGTAATGTTAACTCTTGTCCTCACCATATTGACCTCGAAAATTGCATCAATCTGATATATACTCTATACGATAGAAAACAGAAGAAAACATTCTCTGAAGAAAGGTCCATTGATTACCCCACACACAAACCCAACAAAACCTGTAAGTATATTAGAGCTTTAGCAAGGTGAAGTTCCATAAGGACTTTCTCTGTCTTTGTAGGGTATTTAGCATTAGCAGCTGGTTCAGAAATTCTGTTCCCATCTTGAGCTGAAGTTCCAACCCTTTCTTAACAGGTAACATGGGTCTACCTAGTGGGATGGCATCTCCACAGCAGATTCACAGAGAGAAAGGAAACCAGGTCAGTAAGTATATGCTTATATCATGTCATCAACAAGTGCTAAACCCAGACTCTTACTGGCTGTGTTTTGGAACTTGAAAGTTATCCCAGCCCAACTCTATCATGGTTGTAAAAGAGAAAACAGGTTTGCTGACAAAGTACATTTTACTTCTTAAAGGACAGCTAATTGTCATTTATTCATGAAAACTATTTAGTAGTTTCACTTAAGTTATGAGGTTAATACATTATTTTCTAAAATTTAATGGAGATAGAAAAAGATTCTTGATTTTGTATTTGGCAGACTTACATAAAAGGGAGTAAACCTCCAAATGGTACAGAAAAAAGGAGTAAAATTGGGTATAATTCTTATTTTATAGTTAAAGAAATTAGAGCATAGAATCAGCAAATCACAGAACCAGAAAAGTGAAGATTGAAATTCTAGACAGTTTAATTTTTGTTAAGATCTGTGTTCTCAACCACTGAACAAGCAGCCTGTCTTATATGATTGTGTTAGCTGGATTGATTTGGTGTATAAGCTCATTATACTCAGAAAAAAAAAAAAGACCTAGTTAGTTGCTTGTTCTGTTTTTTGGTACTACTATAATTTAAATATTGTTATTCTACAGTTAATGAGTATTTCTCCTTAAAATAAAGTGTAAAGACACCCATAGAAGAAGCGCTATCTTTCCATGTCAAGTAAACATAGAAGCAGTTTCTGCTCCTGCCTACTCTGTTACTCTCAAACTTACTATTTGAAGATTTAAATTAATTAAATAAGTATAAATGAGTGTCATGCATAGAAATTTAGATTAAGTAAGTTTCATATATCAATTGTGAGTTATTGATTATTTATAAATTTTAAAAATACCCTCTCTGGCTATTTCTGCAGTTCTATAACTTTTCAGCAGTTGCTTGTATTCAACTCATACCATCTGTCTACATACATGTGTGCACACAGACATATACATACTCTGAAACACTGCTATTTGCCCTAGAAAAGTTAAATTGCTTTTTTTACATAAGTGCAGGGGTTCATGTTATTCTGTGTACCTCACTTTATTGCTATCTTGAACTATAAAGAATGCATACCTTTTTACTTATTCAACTACAGTTAAGGTGATATTGCATTATGCTTTCCAAATATAACATTGCTTGAAGCAATGTTAAATCAGTCCTAATGTAAAAATAAAGGGATAGTATACAGTCTTGTTTTTATGGAGGACTTTTTCTCTGGAAAACATGAACACGTTTTATAGTCAGCAGTCTCTCCCATTAAAGGCATTCATAAATCTGTATCTCTGGGTCATGGAGAGTGTAATACACTCGGAAAAATAAAGAAAAAGACCAAATGATTTTCAACTGTACATATTAATTCTAAAGCTACACTTTATCTTTTTTTTGATCCCACCTTCCCAAGGTAAGAAAGGAACATAAATTACAGTACTTATTTTACTAATGGAATTTATATGGACATTAAATAGTTGACAAGGTGACAGGGTAATGTAGTAACCACAAAGGAAAAAGAAAGCTACTTGTAAGCCTGTTAGGATTGTGTATTTATAAATGGGAAGAATTTCAAGAAAATCCTAGAATTTTAAAATGCAAATATTTTAATAATTATTCCTCTACTGATGTCTTAAAACATCTACTAGCATCAAAACTATTCAAAATAAGTAATTCTAGCCTGTTTTAAAGGAATAAATATTTGTTTAGAAAAATATTATAAAGAATTGCTTTTCATAGATTATGTGTCCATTTTGTATTTTAAACTAAAAATTGTTGATTATGATTGTAAGGAGTATGGTCCACTTTAATGTATTTTATTCATATAGTTTTGTGGCATTGTAGACATTGAGTGTCTACAATGTCTTTATTCATTATTTGTTTTTACACATTTATCTTGATATTTCAAAGCTAGGCACTACATAGGGCATCTTGATTAGTGAACATTGTTTTAATTTAGGTACCTAATGAGAAACCTCACCATTTGAACCAAACCTGATCCTCTTCTACATTGGGTCCCCTCGCCCAGTATAAAACTAGCATAGCAATTAACAAGTCTTAGTTTGGACAAAAATGGCTTTAAAATTGTTTAAATGACAGATCCTTGAGGTGTAGGCCAATTGTTTGGATTTAGTGTATTTGAGATAATGTTTAGTTCTGTTAATTTTTCATAAGCACCCTACATGGTTTAGGTGTAAGTGTTTAAGACATTCTAGTCAACCTGCCTTGGAGCCAACTGATTATGGACTGAAACTTCCACAAACAGTAAGCTTCCTTCTTTCCTAAAAAAAAGAAAAGAAAAAGAAATCCTAGTTGGAGGTCCCACCCCAAACCATTTGAATTCTTTATAGACAATAGGAATTGAAACTATGTAACCTAAACAACAAAGAAATTCATTTATAAGACAATTGGATAGCACAAAAACTAGAATTCCAGAGAACTGCCTTTGGCAAGTATGAGAACCAGGACAGCCCCTGGAATTAATTCTTAATCTCATTGGGCAGAATTAATTTCAATCATTTACTGTCCTTATATTTATCAACAGAAAATCTGTTCTGCAAGAGGAAATATGATGGATCTTGATTAAGTCACAGGCTTCAGAAGCATAAGAAGGATTAGTGCCCTGTGACAAACAACTTTACAAAGATTGGACTTGGTATGGGTCAAGTAATTCTTTAAAAATACCATCTCTAGTGGGATGGATAATCAGTGGCCCCAAACTCAGCATATATCTAATCACTTATCACCAGATAACTTATTTCAGAATTTTATTATCTTAAAAATAAGTAAACACAAGAAGTAGGCAATATAATTTTGCCTGCTTAAGACTGTGTAGGAATTCTTGGTTGAGCTCAGGAGAGAGGTATCATTTTTGGCTCCTATGTCAATAGAATGTTAGCAATGTAGAAGTACATACAATAAAATCTTGAAGCCAACTTTTCAAAAGGATAAAATACATTTGATTGTCTGCAAGTACAGTTTGAAACGTCTTTTGTCATAATAAGGCTATTATTCTGTAGCATAGAAGAAGAGAGAATATAGAAAAGACATCACCTAATTTTTCTTGAAAAAGTAACTTTTAGTGAACTGGTTTATGTGGTTTCAAAACTTTCAGTGCATTCTAAATATTAATCTGTTATTTCTGTGTGCTTACTTAATTAAAGAAAACTTGTACTGCCAAATATTGTGCTTGGTATTGACCTAACTTTGACACACAATTATTGTGCTGCCAAAGCAGATTACTAAACTGTAGAACAAAACAAATATACTTATAATATTTATATTTTTAAAATAGTAACTGGCATTTTAAGAAACTTGAATTCTAAGAATTTCAATATTTTGCTAATAAAAATTATAAAGAGATATTTTTCCTATGGGCCATTTTCCCAGAAATAACTTCCCACATGAAGTAGTATAAACCAGGATTTCTTTTTGAGTGCTTCTTTTTGTTGGCACCATTGTTAGTATTTCAGTTATTCAATCTAAGTCTTTAAAGTGAGTACTCATGTTCATTTCATAGGTTAGGAAATCGGGACACAGCAAAATAGAGAACTTGTCCCAATTTTAACATTTATTTGTCGAGAAGTTGAGTTGTGTAATTTTGAAATTATATACTGATCCCCAGTACTTCAGAATCTGATTTTATTTATAGGTCATTGCAGATGTTATTAGAAAATATTAGTCATACTGGAATAATGTTGGTTCCCTCATCCAGTATGTCTGATGTCCTTATGAAAAGAACTTTTGGCACTCATATGTACACAAGGAGAATGCTAGGTGAAAAATGAAGACATTTGTTGGAATAATGTGACTACAAACCAAGAAATGCTACATTGCCAGTAGGCCATCTGAGGATAGAAGAGAGGCTGTCCATCAGAGCCTTCACAAGAACCATGTCCTGCAACAGCTCTGGCTCAGTATTCTAGAATCTATAATTGCGAAGAAATCAGTTTCTGTTATTCTAAACCAACCAGTTTGTGATAATTTATTAAGGCAAGAAAATTCAGGAAGAATTTAGATCTTAGGCATTATAGATATCTAGCTTGTCTTTTTTAATGAACACATTATATTGTTTATCTGGATTTAGGAAAATAAGAGTGCATTCAATATCACTTAGGTCATGAATGAAATCTAATTTAAGGGAATTAATTCAATCTAAGAATTAATGGCATTGTTTTTCCTAGTAGTTGAAGTGCCTCTTTACAAAGTTGTGTGAGAAAGGAATCTAAAATACAAGTTAAGCATCTTTATCTGAAATGCTTTGCACCACAGCGTTCTTGATTTTGGATTTTTATTGGTTTTGGAATGTTTGTTCATATATAATGGAATATTTTGAGACTGGAATCTAAGTTCGCACATGAAATGCATTTATATTTTATCTCCATGTTGTATACATAACCTGAGGGTAATTTTGTGCAGTGTATTCTAAGTTCTTGCATTCTGAGTCACATCACATGAGATTGCATGTGGGATTACCACTTGTGATATTGTGTCTGTCCTCAAAATGATCAGATTTTGGATTTTCAGATTATACATGCTCAATCCACTGTACTTTCTTTTGGGATTCATGTTCCTAGAACAAAAATAACAGAAATACAATATAAATAGAAACAGTTGGAGAACATAATGATCCTGGAATGTACCTATCATTTATAAACTATATGTTAACCTATACTTATTTAAATGTTAGAAAACATGTATCTCCCTTAATAATCTCTGGACAGTTGTGTAGATATTCTCTGTTCCTGTTTGGATAAGGACTATTTAAAAATCTGTCATTTTCCAAAGACATACATTTTGAATAGAACCAGGCTTTGAATACTAGTGCATTAAGCAGGAAAAATGTAAAAGAAAAGCATTCTTTTCATTACATAGAGACTCTGATACAGAATGTACCAGGCCTTTTGCCCATGGCCTTTTCTAGTTAAAACAGATGGCTGCAGAATAAAGGAAAAGCTGGTGTTTTTTGTTTAAAATAAATAGAATGAAAGACAAAATGAAAAAGGAGAGTTAGAAGTAGGAAATACTTGGAAGGTATGCAACTCTGCGTATTAGAAACTCTAATGAAACACTGGGGATGTCAGGGTTGTTCTGAATTTCCAAAGATAACTCAAAGCCTAAAAGTCCTGATTTTTTTTTCCTTCTAGCTGTATTAATTGATTAAAGATGAATTAAGGAGAAATTTCTTCTTAGATTCCACAGAGGAAGTACTGATTTATAAAGCAGAGAAATCTTATTGTTAAATTTTGGTCAGTGAAGCCTTTGATTTGTATCTTCTAATATTTCTTTAATTTTTAAAGTCATCTGAGAGCTGCATAGTGAAATAGGCCTGGGATTGAGTCCCAATTCTGTGCCTTATTAGGAGTTCCTTGTATAATGACCTAATATTTTTGTCCTGTTTTAATAATGTATAAAATTGCAAAAAGGACACTATTCACTTTTGAAGATTCATAGGTTGGAAATATATAGAAGTGCCTGGATGCACAACATTCACTATAATACAGTATCTCATCTTAATGGGATTATTGTTATGTTTGAGGCACTTGGTATATATTTCATATCCAAATTAAGAACTAGTTCATATTATTCCAGTTCAGCAACTGAAAAGTTAAGGCATACATGCTTTGAGTAATTTGGTGAATGTTGGGAGCCGCGTCTGTGATAGCTCGCCTTGCGCGGCGGACGTGCGGCCTGTAGGAAAGAGCAAAGCCTGAGGTAGATTGCCCCTCCCATCGAATATGTTAGTTTCCTGCTTACCGCGTAAACAACCCGCTCAACAATATAGTCTGCCTGGCAACTGATGATGTTAGCCAATCAGCTTGCCTTGCTTACTTTAACATGATTGGACACTGTACCCGTATATATACTGGTGCCACCCCTGGGCGGAAGTAGAAGCCAGGTAGAAGCCCAGAAGTAAAAGCCCAAAAGGAGCCGCGGAGAGCGGACCGGTAGAGGCTTTGGGGCAGACTGAAGCACAAAAGGAGCCGCGGGGAGCGGACCAGAGGAGGCTTCAGCTGGGAGAACCCAGGGCAGGCTGTACGGAGAAGGAAAATAAAAAGAAAAGGTTGTCCACTACCAGACTTTGTCGTGTGTCCTTCCTGCCGGCCGGGAGCGGACATCGACATTTGGAGGCCCGCCCGGGGACTGATCACCCCCGAGACGTGGAAGTGGACAACGCTCCAGTACAGAGCTGCGAGACAGGTGAGTTGGGGATAAGCCTGGGCTCTGGGTGTCGCGCACCTACAGGGCTTTTAGACTCCCCTCAGGCTCACGCGTAAGTGGCGGATTCCTTGGGCCTCACGCGGTGAGTAACATATTAAAAGATGGGAAACATGTTAGGTAGCAACACTAAGAGCGAGGGTGGTTGTGGAGAAAGCTCTCAAGAGCTTACAAAAGTACGCAGGGTATCTGAGCAGGCCCAGTCAGGGAGCTCCCGAGAGGGGTCCGTCAAGGGGAACAAGGATGCTAAGGAGGAGGACGGGGCTCTAGCCTCGGAGTCGTCTGACTCCGAGGACGAGGGAAAGTTGAATGGCAAGGGGGCCAAAGAGACCAGCTGTCAGGAGCCTAAGTCGCTCAATAAGGAGTCGCAGGGTTCTTTTCCAGCGTTGCCCCGCGAATTGCGCTCTGCTCAACCTGGTCTGCGGAGGAGTAGAGAGCTCCTGAGCGCTCCCCGGCGCGAGAGGGAGGCGAAGCCTTCCGCCCCACCTTGGGGGCCGTTTCCTGAGGCGATTCCTCGCCACGAGGCGGCCGCCTGGGAGCTCTCTCCCCTTTCGCCAGAACAGGAAGTGATGCACGGGCCCCCATTTTCCGCCCAATCACGGCCGCTGTCTTATGCTCCGCCGCCGGCGGGTCGGTATTTTTACAGGCGGCTTTGGCAGGGGGGACGCTTGTCTCATGAGGTACATCCACCTGGGATAGATAGTGGCCCCTACGAGATATTCCCTGTACAAGTAGCTATGGGCCAGGGACGCAATGTATGGGAGCCTTTTGAGATAAAGCAGATTAGAGAACTTAAAAATGCAGTTACAACCTTTGGGCCGACTGCGCCTTACACCATTGCCATGCTGGAGAATCTGTCTTCTGGGCCCCTCACCCCCGCGGACTGGATTCAGCTGGCAAAGGCGTGTCTGCCCTCGGGCAGTTACCTGGATTGGCGAGCCTGGTACGCAGAGTTCTCTGCCGAGCAGGCTGAGAAAAACGCCGGTCGAGGAAATGGGGGCTGGGGATTTAGCTCAGCGGCATAAGCGCTTGCCTTGCAAGCAGGCAGTCGTGAGTTCAATCCCTGGTACCGATAAAAACAAAAAAAACAAACAAAAAAAAAAAAAGATAAAAATAAAAAATAAAAAATAAAAAACAAAAAGGGGGAGTAAGCCAAGGCCTGCCTCCAAAGGCGCGGTTATCTATGACAGGACAATGGATGGGCCCGGATCCAGTGGTCAGCTGGAACCGAGGCGCGGTTTGTGTTTTCCCACAGGAACCGGGACGAGAACCACTGTGGATACCGGAGAGACTGACACGGGCAACAAAGCCCTCGACTGAAGATCAGACCTGCCCTACTGGAGATCCATCACAGACCAACCAACAAGATGAATAGAAATAGCAGTAGCCCGAAATGGACAAGAAGATCCTCAGGCATATGCATGGCTTGCTCAATTGGCCCACGACCGAGTCTAGATATGGCGGGCATCCCTCATTCTCCTCCATAAGGTGACAATACACAGCAGGGTAGGTGAGTCAATGACGGGTAAGAGCGTGCCTCCCCAGCACGACTCGACCTAAGCCAGGCCCTACCCCATCCTGCACGTAAGCCGCTGGACTGTTAGATGCTGCCCAGGTCTAAATTTCTCTCCGAGGGGATTTCTTTACGGAGAGGAAATGAGTGCAAGCTTGTGTGCATCCAGGTTCCATCCAGTTTGTGCCTGGCCCTAGAAAAAGGACGAGGGCCTCAGGGCCTTGGCAGACCATGGCATGGCCAACCAGGGTCTAAGCCAAGGACCTACGGTGGGCCTACACATAGGGCATAAGCCTCTGCACCCAGTCCAGGAAGGGCTACGATGCGCACATTCATAAAAAATAAAATAGGGGGAGATGTTGGGAGCCGCGTCTGTGATAGCTCGCCTTGCGCGGCGGACGTGCGGCCTGTAGGAAAGAGCAAAGCCTGAGGTAGATTGCCCCTCCCATCGAATATGTTAGTTTCCTGCTTACCGCGTAAACAACCCGCTCAACAATATAGTCTGCCTGGCAACTGATGATGTTAGCCAATCAGCTTGCCTTGCTTACTTTAACATGATTGGACACTGTACCCGTATATATACCGGCGCCACCCCTGGGCGGAAGTAGAAGCCAGGTAGAAGCCCAGAAGTAAAAGCCCAAAAGGAGCCGCGGAGAGCGGACCGGTAGAGGCTTTGGGGCAGACTGAAGCACAAAAGGAGCCGCGGGGAGCGGACCAGAGGAGGCTTCAGCTGGGAGAACCCAGGGCAGGCTGTACGGAGAAGGAAAATAAAAAGAAAAGGTTGTCCACTACCAGACTTTGTCGTGTGTCCTTCCTGCCGGCCGGGAGCGGACATCGACAGGTGAAGTCACACATTAGTAAGTTACCTATAGATTTGGGAATCAGTGCTAGATTCTTACCTTGCAATTTATTAACACAGCTAGCATTTATTAAAGATACTATACTTGGTTCTGTATTTGGGATCTCTCTCTCTCTCTCTCTCTCTGTCTCTCTCTGTCTCTCTCTCTCTCTCTTTTCTGTCTCTCTCTCTGTCTCTCATTAGGCTACAAGTAGTTACAATCATTTCAGACAGAGGAGAATGAAGCACAAGGGCATCAGGAGAACCTGTGATAGAATGTTGAGGACAGAGTGGTAAATGGCTGGGACAGGTGGAGACTAAGGAGTGAGACAGAAAATTCAGGAAGAGACCTGGGCTTGAGTCAAGACTTGATAGTATTGAATGGTATGCTAAGTCCTCTACCCTGATAGCCAGAAGTTCTCAGTCACTTTGGGTATCTTTGAAAAAATAACCATTGTTAGGTACAGCGCAGATGTACCACTGTATTTCGAAAATTTACTCATTTTTAAAATGTTATTAAGTATATAGTAGGCACTTAATAAATATTGATTTACCTTAAAAGTAATGCTTTGTTGGTTGTTAGTCATCTCAAAAATTTTTAATTATTTCAGTGACGTGAAGGGGAAATTTATTTTTTGTTACTGAGACACCACTCTGTGGGGACTATACTACAATCCCCAAAATATTAAAGAGTTATAGTGATATGTATTGATGATTCACTGATAAACATCCAGAAGATCAGTCATTTGTTGAGCAAAATGTGTGTATTGCTTTCCCATCTTCCATGTTGCCCTAATGAAAGTCATATTGATTTTTTTCTCATTGAATTTGACAGCTTAGTTATTTATTTCCACTTCCAATATAAAATGAGCATATTACCTGGTTTTCTTGATGATGCTTCATACAGATGTAAGTGTTTCCTTAGTGCCTCAAAGATAATAAAATTATTCTTTAAAATGTGTTATCTAGAATATGAAATTTAAAGTACATGATTCCAAGGTTAATTAAAAAAACAAAAAAGATGATAATGATAAAGAGGAAGAGAAAAATTCAGATACTAGAAAGAAGGAATGAACCCACTCACCCACAAACTGAAAGTCCGTTATACTGATCTTTAATACAATTTATGTGTTGACATCATATTGACCTAATTGTAAACTATTTTATTCAATTATTATAACTTTCTTTGCTTTGATATCACCAAAATATATTCATGTATGGTTTCTAATATGTGTATTATTATATACACCAAATTGTTAATTCTTCAAATTCTTAGTTGTGTGTACCAAATTCTATAGTAAATAAAGGTCTTAACGGTAAAAAAAGTTTACATTTTTATTAGAAAAGTTTTCTGAGCAATGCTGTGTTAATTTTAAAAACTTACTATTAAAACATAAATTGCATTTACCTTTATGTGATACAGTTTAAACATTTTGACTATTTTGGATCTTTTGTCATGGTAAGATGCTACTGATTGATGTTTCAACCCCTTTTTTCAGTAAGATAGTGCTTTCTTTGTATTTGCTATTGAATGAGTGACTTGGACAATTGGTGTATAATATTAACAGTTTAAAGGCAGATAGAAAGCCAGATGTTAGCATAAGTGTGATTTATAATTGAGTAAAATGAGACCAAGGAATATTACATGTCTTCACAGTAGTCACTTAGCCATTGTTGGCATTTTACAATCTCTACAAGAACACTGAATTATATGAATTTACTTACATGTGTATTACACTTTATATGTGACAGAGAATGAATTTTCATTGAAATCAATGAAGTCAGTTCATTTTACCAATAACAGTTTATTGGCTTATGACAAGTCATTTAATTATCCCACTTCTCTAACAAATGTGATAGGCTAAATCTTGTCCTGTCATTTGTAAGTGAAAGTGCATAATTTTTACAGGGAAATTATGCACAAATATCAAAATTTCATTATATTAATAAGTGTCAATAATTATTTCTCACAGTACTTATATAAACTCTGTCATGCTGTCTGTGATAAAGGTAAATTATATGAAATGAACATTGAAATACAGTGTACAGATGGACTGTTTTGTTAAACTTTATCACTGTGTGAGCTATGCAGTACTTTCAAGTAGCTTTCATCTGCCTCAAATTTCCCCCCAAACAGAATAGTCAAATAGTACATCTGTAATTCTCTCAATATTCAAAGTTGCTTTGCTCAGTAATTTTACTAATGAATGGATAGTATTGAGCAAAATCTTTTAGGCCAGTAATAAACCAAATTCTACTAATTCATTAAAATAATAGGAAAACATAAGAAGAAGCTTAGAGGAAAAAAATAACCTTTTTCTCAGGCAGGAAACAAACAGACTAATTAGACTGACTCTGATCTTTTTGTGGCCTGGAGCAAATATTTTAGTCTCTTGGAGCCACCATTTCCACCTTGGTAAAATGCTGGTAATCCTTAATTATTCTGTTTTACAGGATTTTAATAGTGTTGAAATATTCTTTGTCAAACTGTTTTGAAAATTGTGAAGTACCTCACAATTGCATTATTTCATTTGGTTTCCCAGCAGTACTGGGACATCTCCACACATTGTTGATCAAATCATTTAATCATTCATTCCACATTTACTGAACAAACATTAATTGAATTCCAGAAGCTGTGATTCATGTTAGCATTAAACATCAAGCCATTCTGCCTCCTTCTTGAGTCAAAAAAAAAAAAAAAAAAAAAAAAAAAAAAAAAAAAAAAGCAAAGAAAAGGAAAAGAAAGAAAAGAAAAGACATGTGATCTAGGGGGCTGGGGATTTAGCTCAGCGGCATAAGCACCTACCTTGCAAGGAGGCAGTCGTGAGTTTGATCCCCAGTACCGATAAAAAAAAAAAAAAAAAAAGAATGAGATGTAAGCTAGAAGGGCAGGCAAGCTGGATTGCACTGTGAACACATTAGCCAGACAGTGAGCCTTGGTTTGTGCTTCCAGGAGAAATAATCTGACCTTGTGTTACCAAATTTAAATAGGGCAGAAAGGGAAAAGGAAGTTTGCTCTTGCAAATTGAATACACTCACTAATTCCTCCTTTCCATGATAGGAGGTAAATGTCATTATTGTGTCCCCTTTTATAACTGAGGAAACTGAGTCAGACAGGGCTTAAATCATTTGCAAGGAAATGCAGATGAAATAAGAGCATAGAAAGAAGAGCATACTATGTATTCATCATTCTTCTGTTAGTGGAAGAAATGCTTGACACAGTTTAAAGGGAAAAAAAAAAACCTCAACAGTTTTGGTTTACAGTTTCAGAGGTTTCAGTCCATGGTTGACCACTGTTTGCAGAGCAGAACCATCATGATGGAAGGGTGTGGCAGGAGAGGGCTGCTTCCTCTGTGGCAGCCAGGAAACAGAATGAGGGAAGAGCCATAGACAGGAGGCCGTGTACCAGATGCAGGACCCAATCACTGGCAAGTGTACTGTTCTTTTTTTCTCATAATTTATATTTTAAAGGGAACAAAACCAAGGAAAATAAACCAGAATAAAGCCAATCAAAACAAAACAGTGTAAGGGATACAATTTCAAAATAAGATAGTAAGAAATCAACAGCAGTTACCATAATGCCTCTTAGAGTTTTCAAAACAATTACCTATAATTTCAGATATACTCAAATAAAAGAAAACAAAATAGAACCAATGAAAACAAACCAATGAACACAATAAAGTATTTCAAGCTATTAGTACATCCAAAATAGCTACCATAATATGTCTTGTTATCGTTGAGATAGCTGCCCATGCCATCAGATACAATAAAATCAAACAAGATAAAACCAAACAAAATAATGAAAATGATACAGGACTTCGACAGTGATAATAGGGAATTGGGCCATGGCTACTGCCTTCAGAAGGAGATGACCCATAGATGCTACATTGTGTATTGTTATGTTCTGAAAAGATGATCAGATTACTGGCTTTAGGCCTGCAAGTCAGTGAAATACTGAACACTACAAGCAGTAAGTTATATTTTACCTCAGTAGCTATCATCACATCCTGTATTTCTTTGGATCAGCAGGTTGCTTATGAAGGAGGGGCAGGGGAAAACATTGACTCTTCTTGTCTCCCTGCCCACATACCAGAAGGGGCCGGCATCTAGTTCACCCTGCAGTGACCACATATGGCACTGACTCACAAGAAGTGCTTGGTTCTTTATTGGCTTCTTGTTCCCTTCCCCCATGCTCTGTAAATGGTGCTGACTCACAGGAAAGGGCTGGCATCTGGTTCTCCTGCAGTGGTCTGCACATGGTGCTGACTTGCAGGGAGAGCTTGGCTTCTTGTTCTAGTGTACTGTTCTAAACATCTCTCAAACCAGTCAAGTTGAAAGTCATGATTAGCTTTTACATACTGGGGCATCTAAACTGGCCAAAAAGGGAGGAAATAAAGGTTGTAAAGGTCTGGAGTTGGAGATGACTTGCTATGGCATCATATAGTAAATATAGTTATGTCCTGCACACTCAAACCTTCATACATGGAAATAGCCTTTTAAATTAAAAAGTTCAAATTTCATGAACACAGTGAAGAAATATATAGCCTAGTTATTGTAATGCAGTATGTTAATTATTTGCTTGTAAGAATATGCACAGGATGAAGTATAGGGTGACTTACTTTCTGTGTGGAGGAGTCCACAGAAGTTTTCTACAGGAGATAATGTGTGTGCAGTCTTGGATGACATTGTTCATGAGAGCCAGTTCATTGTTCAGAGAGCCAGCAGAAAAGGACTTTTGCGAATGATTCAAAGAAATACTAACAGTGAAAGAGGTTGGTGATTCTTTGAAAGTACAACTAATTTGGTATAGTTTTCTTATGGAGGGGCAAGAAGGATTGGAGATAGGACAGCAATTGAAAAATGAGGGAATCCTGAGAAGCCTTTTTGGTCAGCATGCTTCAATAATATTGTGCTTTTGGATTCCTTATATTCTAATAAGATGTCTTCATTACTTTTAAATAACAGCTTATCTAATGTTGGTGCATGATAGTTTTAGATAAAGACATGATTACTGTAAAGAGGAAATCAAAATATAACGTTTCATTTTAAATTTCAGAATTAATAGTTTTAAATGAACTAAGTAATACATAGAATTTTCTATAATTCCTGTGTACATTTTTCCAGTTAAAATGTTTCTACTTTATATTAATATTGCATTTTTATATCAATATTAATGTTTTAATATTTCAAATTTGGACTAAACTCAATGGCCTGTGTTTATGGTGTTCATATCTATTTCTAAGTGATGAAATTAATAAACTTTCAGGTGTTTATCTGAGAATAACATAATTTGGTATTGAAATCCCTTCCCACCAAATAAGTGGTTAATACTGCCTTTTCTGTAATTTATCTTTTTAATGTGACTTTATATTTGCTAGTTTTCATGATTCATACTTTAATTAGTGGCCATTTGTGGGTGAATTTGTAGTACTGTGTGACTGAGATCATTTTCACCCAGCCCCATGGTTCCTGACCGAGACAGGCTGTCTGAGGATTCACTTTATCTGATTTGCAGGCTGTGGCCTCCATGTTAAAGGGAAACTTTAGATTCTTTCTATGAATGTATTTAAAAGCTATAAAATAAAATTCAAAATGAGAAGGATTTTTTAAGGTTATAAATTTAATTTTCAGTGTTCTCTAGATACACAAGGGTCTTGGAGAACCATTGTTAAAATTAATTAGAAAAAATAATAGATTTTAGAAAATAAGAATGTAATGTAATTCATATTTTATAATGTCTTTTCCACAGGCTGTGGAGACTAGGGTCAGAGATGCCAGTTAAAAATAGTTGTGGTAGACTAGGATAAGAAAACAAAGATTTCTGAGAAACTCTTAAGCTTGATTAAGATCTGGTAGATTGGTATAGTAATTGTTGGGTAGGTTGTTTTTATTCCAGACCCTTAGGAATTTGTGATCAAAGCAAAATCCTATTGTCATGTTTTTGGGAAAAGAAGAATTAACTCAAATTTATTTATTAAAGTGATTATTCTAGGGGATAGGAGTATAGCTTAGTGGCAAAGTGCCTGCTTGGCAAGTGTGAGGTCATGAGTTTGATTCCAGTACCAAAAAAAAAAAAAAAAAAGTTTATTGTTGCAGCAAGATGACAAACAGTGGTTGGAAAGGGCAGCAGTTGACAAACAGGGATGAGTTAGGACATCACTGTCATTATCAATGAGTGACATTCTGCCAAGCAATTGCAGTGATTTAGAATAAGGTCAATGGACATTACAGGATCATATGCTGAGTATGACCCTTCCAGAAGTGTCTTCCTACTCAGCTCCTAGCTGATTTTCCTGGAGCTCATCTCATGTTAAATCTGACCACCCAGGAAGACTAAGTGCAGTTGTACCACGTGTCCCTTCCTGGAACATGCAGTTCTCTGTTTATTTTGTGAGGAACAAGAGTGATTTCCTCAGAGTATTCTAGTAGTAACCAGAGAGCTAATGTAATGGCCTCTTATACATTCTTATCTCGACAGATGAATGGATTTCTAAATTTAGTGCAAGTGAACAATTAAATACTATGCTGAAAATCAGTCATAGGCAACAATGTGGATGACATTAGACTATGTTCAGTTATATTAAATAAGTTAGGCAAAGAGTAACAAATACTCTTTGCCTATACATTCTTATCTCTTGGTGGTAAGAAGGGGTATCTGTTTCATCCTCTACCTTTGATCTGTTCAGAATATTCTTCCTCTCTTGATTTTTTTTAAAGAGAAATGCCATAAAAATGCTGTTTTCATCTCTGTTAGCTCAGTATGTCAGTGGTCCAAGCCACTTTCACAGTATTTTTAAAATGTGCTTTGTTGCTCTGGATCTTGGACTCCTTGGAAGCATAAGTTATGGCAACAGACTTAGCATTCTGGGCAAAGTATGAAAGTAAAAGCAGTGCTGGAAAGATGCTAAGGAGCAGACATAGCCCGTGGGCTGTCTCCTGGCTGTGTGTGGCGTGGCACTAAGAATTTCTCCCTTAATCAGACGCGGGCCAGTCTTTGTGGTTGAGGAGGGAAATGGAGTCACCATGCTCTTGGCCTCACTGAGCTGAAAATGCTGGAAAACAGTTTGTGTTTCAAAATTTCAAGGAAATCTTATCAGAGCTGGAAAAGAGAAAGAGAGAAAAAGTAAAAGAAATTGGCAGTTATTAGTTCTATTTGTACAATGTTTCTTGCTTTCTTATACAAGATTGAATTGAATTTTCTGGCTGCCTCTGTAGTTGGATGAGGTTGCATTCTTAGTCTGGCCAGGGAGTTTCAGTCAGAAGTAATGTGTATGCTCTCATTATCAGTGTGACACTCTCTAGAGGCTCAGGTTCTATCTTCCTTGGTGACCAGCAGCTATCAAGCTGGTGGCTCCTTATTCATCTGTTGTTTCTGAGTAACATGTCTGCCTCAGTGGAGATGTCATTTCTGGAAAAAATTAACATCTATAGTTTAAGTCCATTGACCTTTGTCTTTTTTTATGCAACATACATGTCCTACTAAATAATTTGACTCCATACTTACAAACTCTTTGATCTTTTTAATATGTTAGGTAAAGTCTATTATCATTGTACACTAATGGGCTTTTCTCATAAGGACAGTAGTTTAGCACCAGATTCTGATAACACTCCAAGAAGCCTTTTCTCCTACCACCACTGCTGAAATTAATTCTGTCTGTGATTCTTACCATCAGTCACTCCAGAATAAAAGGCTGGAGCCTTTTAGTTGATAGTACTTTTATAACATGTACCTATTTTAGAGCTGCTAAAAGCCAGGAGAGGAAATAGCTACCCTTTTTCAGATTCTCTAATGACAGGTAGACTTTCATCTATCCTGAGATTTCACTTTAGCACAATTCTATTAGTCTAGGCTTAAAGGCATAAAAATAAAAATAAATATATTTTGTTTTAATTTTAAATAACAGTTCGTATAAACTGTTAAAACTTACAGGGTAAAATGTGGTGTTTCAATGCAAGTGTACATTGTAGAATAGTGGCTTCAAATTTGATGTACTAATTAGTATATGTGGCATTTTAGATGTCTATTATTTCTTTACTGTGTGAACATTTAAAATCCATTATTTCAGCTACATTAACTGTATTTGCCATGCTGTGAAATGGAACACCAGAGCTTACTCTTTCTACGGTAACTGTACCTACTGCCTAATATCTCCACATTCTTCATCTACCTCACATCTAACTCCCACCTACCGCCTTTCTACACTTGTATGTCTCAGAATTGGTGTTGATTACACATATAAATGAGATGGTGCAGTATTTGTTACTCTTTGCCTAACTTATTTAATAACTGAATATAGTCTAATTTCATCTACATTGTTGCCTATGACTGATTTTTCAGCATAGTATTTCATTGCTCACTTGCACTAAATTTAGAAATCCATTCATCTGTGGATGGACACTGCCTTGGTTACTTTTCTCTTGTTGCTGAGACAAAATACCCAACACCCCAAATTAAGGAAGGGAAGGTTTATTTAGCTCACGGTTTGTGGAAATTTCAGTCCAAAATCAGCTGGCTCCCAGGCAAGATGGTAACAATTCAGTAAGGCAAAGTTCAAGATGACAGAAGACAGCAATGCAGCAAGAGCAAAAGGGATGAAAAAGTTTCTTTTCCTGCCTTATATTATACACAGGTCTCTCCTGCCATCCCCAGGGTAGGTTTTGTTCACAAAATCTCCTTGCCCTCCTCTTGCATAGGATGAGTCTATTTAAAAAGTAAGGCCTCTGGCTGTTTGTTGAATAATGTAAACTTCTAAGCTTCTCAGATAGATACAGTGTTTCAACAACAGCAGGCTCTTAGATTGTTCTGCATATTGGCTACTTGTGAGTAGTACTGTGGTGAAACATGGTAGTACAGACATGTCTTTCACAGATTTTAGTTCCTTTTTTGTATAGAACCCCTAGTGGGACTGTTGGCAAATCTTAAAGCCCTACAGAACCAGAAGTGCTATTAAGTGTCACACACAAAAAGTGGCGAACTTCATCCCAGAAATCAGGATGAATTAATGAAGTTGATGTATGTAAGAAGCAGAAGCATGTCCACTAAATCAAGAACAGGTGCTAGCTGTCTTTCCTTGCTATTTATATTTTGTAACCGTGTGGGAGGACAAGGTTGAGACCTGTGTTTTATGACAGAAAATTTGAAAACGATGCTGTTCTCCAGATGATTATATCTGAGATTATATCCAAGCTTCATTTCCCTCTGTAACCTGTCACTGTTTCTTTAGCACTACATTTTAACTCTAATTTTGTAAGCAGAATCAGATTAAATTTAGATTAGAGTGCACCCTAAACTTAAAATTTATACTAACATTCTCCATATAAATAGTCCAATTACATATGGGGGTAGGTACTAAGATTTTCTGATCCCTAACTGGTTAGATTTTCCTGATTAGTTAACATTTTAGGTGGAAGCTGTTCTGTTTTCAGGGTAGTGGATGTTTACTCCTGATAAATTTTTAAATATCTAAATCAGCTTTTCTCTACACTGAAGTATTCAACTTAGTGTCTTTAAAATATGGTGCAAACAAAAAAATTTAAAATGGGACTCAAAACCCTAATTCAAAACTTGAGACTAGTTTAGTCATGGTAGAACTCATATGTGGCTTCTAGTGAATATCTGCTGGTGCAGAAGATTTCCTTTGTTCACATTAATACATGTCATCCATCAGCTTTTCAGAGTAAGCTATTTTTACATGGGCTTATTACTACTCTTCTAAGTTTGCTAAGAAAATATGATATGGAAAAGTGGAATTGGATGGAATTGTCTTTCTCAAGTTGGATTTGTTATTTTAGTTATTTAAAGGAGAGGGGTTTTTTTGGTACCTTGAAAGGGAAAGGGACTCAAAGCTTGATCTTCAACTAGAAATGAATGTTGATGGAATTATTTTGGATCTTGATACTTGAGAGAGTATAGGAGGACACAAAATATATACTGGATGACACATGTTCATTTAAAAAACACAAATTATAAATTCAGAATGTTTATAGAAGTTGGTTTAAGGAAGTCAGGTTTATGATATTTTCAATTTTGTGATAGTATTCTGTCAGTGAGGTGGTGGTATATAATAGCAAAAGCAGTAATGCTATTCGATGTTACTTTTCAGGAAAGGACATTTTGCTGTTAAGTATGTTATGGTTTGTGCTGGAGCGAGGAGCAAGAAACACTGGTTAGTACCATCACTGTAGTGACAGGCAGCCTCAAGTAGGGCTAACTTGAGAACATGTATATTAATCTGTGAATATACCCCACATTAGTCTTTGTTTATGTGTTTATATAACACTTAAAAGATTATTTTAAAAATAAAAATACTTTATAATAAGATTCTTAAAAATTACCTGTGAATTATATCTTTTGTTTTAAAGAATATACCATAAAAGAACATAGCACTGTTGTTTAACAAGTGTGTTTTGAATAGATTTATATAAAATTTATGTAAAACTCTTTGAACCATGCAGTTTCTTCCCAAACAATTCTTCTGTCTTGAACATAAACATAGTTCTTTTCTAAACTAAAGAAAGGCATAGCATTGAGTTATATGCAAGTTTCAATTTTTTTTTACTTTGAAACTAGCACAAAAGGTATCAAATCATCAGTGATGCTTCTCTAAGTTTAATCTTGTGTAGTCAGTCTAATTGCTAAGTTCTATTTCTTAACATCAAATTCTAATGATTTCTTCCACTCTGTGTCCTTAACTTACATCTGTAAACTTGAAACCCTACTCAAGTTATTGTCCACTTCAAGTCCTAAGGCTTTGGACTTCCAGTAAATCAGCACTTAAGCTTACACTGACAGACCTGGTAAGCAGATAGAAAGAGAGTATGTTGTGTATTATTTCTTTGTCTTTGTAGGTTATTTCTATTTTAAGTGAGCCTAGCCTCTGGATAATATGATAAAAATACTCTGCCATTCATTGAGTGTGTTTTCCAAATATAAATGTCTTACTATATCTGGTTTATCTGAGAGAATGTCAAATATGGTGATGCATTTATGAGGTTATACATAGAACATATCTAGAAGGAAACAAATATTTCAAAAATAATTTTCACTTAAAAGATTTAAAAATATTTAAATATCCAGTGGTTTGGAAAGATCTTAAAATCCGTTTATATAAAGCCTGAATTATTCCTTTTAATCTATTAACTGATTTTCTATTATCAGTTTATTTTTGAATATTAACTGTATGGAATATCTAATGTATGATTAAATAATTCAGAATTGTGGCATGATTTTGAACAGGAAACAGTAAAATTGTGATAAAATGAAAAGACATTAGTGTCATCAAGAAATCAGGTAATATCAAATGCTGCCAATGCTGTGGGTGAAAAGGAGCCCTTCTTCATTGTTGATGGGAGTGGAAACTGGTATCAGCACTGTGGGGATCAGTACATAGATTCCGCAAAATACTTAAAACAGAAATCACATTGAATGGAGTATTCTCATTCTACAACTTTTACTGGAAGATTTAAATATATCATAGTACAGGCATACAGGCATACTCATAGAGGAATAGCTCATAATAGCTAAATCATAGAGACCTGTATGCCAATGAGCAGATGAATGGGAAAAGTAACTGTGGTATTTATACACAATGGAATATTACTCTGCCTTAAAAAAGATAAATGTGGGTCATTTATAAAAAGATAAAAAAGGATGTACCTGGCTAACATAATGTTAATTGAAGTCAGGCAAGCTTTAATAGAGTGTGATTTCTTTTATATGGGAAACCCAAAGCATAAATAGCAAAATAAAAGAAGATAACAAAACAAAGGGAGATAGATCTTTTGCAGAAGGGAAGAAAGGGGACCCCAAGAGATGTAGCGAAGGATGAGGGAAGGGATGGGAAGGAGATGAGAAGAGACTGAAGATGTATTATGTACATGAGCCAGCTCACCACAATCAGTGTAATCATTATGCACTGCAAACATGGGCTAATAAAAACAAAAATTAAAAGAATAACAGATCACCTGGTGAGGACGAAGTAAAACTGTGCTTGCCTATAATCATTTGTGGAGTATATATAATAATTTTAACAGAACTAGGCTTTTGAAGTGTAAGAAGCTTTAAGAGTACTTTTAGGGAAGAGTTAGAAAGCATGAATGATCAAAACAGGTAGCAAGAAAGAGAATAAAATCAGCTGAAATAGAAAGTCAACTAAAGTGATCCCAGCAGGCATAATTATATTTTCAGGGAAGTGAATCCCCAACTCCTCTAGTCAGTGTGAGACTGATTAAAGGGAATATAAAATATAGTCCACTTAAGGCCAAGTTTGAACATCTATAGATAAAGAAGTCTGCATTGTGTACATTTCCTGAAGCTATTTTTATTTTTCAGGTCACTACTGTCCAGCAAAGAAATTAGTATAATAGGAAGATGAATATTTTTAAATTAGTAAATTTTTAAATGAGGAAAATGACTTTAAAAAGAAAACGAATTTTCCTGTTTTAATGAGCTTTTCCTTTAGATATTATAACTAAGTGGCCCCAATTTGAGAAGTGTAGTTGCCTTCTCCAAATATAGTCAATCTTTGAGACTATAAGTTGAGCTCTAATAGGAGACTTAGCAGTTGGGTGGGCAGCTGTGTCAGTGTTAGTGTCATGCTATGCTCTTTTTACTTGTATGCAGGGTGGCTTCTGAGGCCACATAGAGGCTTTCTCTCCAGCTGGAATGCAGTGAAGTTCTTACATGTGTAACTTTGTTAATGCCCTACTAGCATCAGTTCAAGACTTGGTTACTGTCCTCAGTAGTTTGTGCTAAAAGACTAAAAGTCATTTGTGTGTGTGTGTGTGTGTGTGTGTGTGTGTGTGTGTGTTTTGCTGTTGTTCTTGCTTTAACTTCCTTGCAATCATCAGTAAAATTCAAATGATGAACCTAAGGTGAAAACTGACACGTTAGCTATATTTATGCTTGATCAGGCCTTCCTGATTTTATTCCCAACAAAAAGGAGCCCAGTACATACATGCCTGTATGTCTGTGATAGTTTATAGATTAAGAGGTTTGATTGGCCTGAAGAGTATCACAGTGACTTCTGTAGCATCTGTTTCCCTGACTCAGAACGGACTTCATTGCAATTCCAGGATATATAATGAAATCTAGGGATAGTTAGTTAACTTGTTACTAACTGTAATGGTGTAAAAGAATTGTCTGAAGTGTAAGTAGTGAATTAATAAAATTTCTTGTAATATTTCAGAGTAAAATTGTAGAAATATTGATCTATGAGTTCTCAATGAAGACAAAATCACCAAGTTTAAATCTATCCACACTGTAATGATTTCACAGTGTATACCTGTCTCAAAACATGATGCCATACACTGTGAATATATACAGTTTTATTTGTCAGCAGTCATCATTTTAAAAAAAACCCACTGACCCTTAGCAGTAACCTCAGAATGTAATGTGGATAATTTTCTAAGCAGTTTGTTTCAAAGTAGATTAACAAATAAAGGAAAACATTGGGAAGACACATCGTGCTTGTCTTTACCCCATAAATATAATTTATTAGAATTTATTAGAAAATATCCCTTACACTGATGCAGTAGGTCTTTATGTAACATATTAAAAACTAGTGCTCTTGTGACAATAGAAGACAGAGGAGTTTAAAACTTTCCTATCTGGAGATACAGGAAAATATTTTTCTGATTCATTTTACTATTCTAATTGTTTTACTAAGCCAGATATATTTGGAAAAGTGAGGTAGATATAAATCATTGCATAATTTTGTACATTTGATATGTGACAATGATGCACTATTCTTTCAGTAGATTGAGAATTCAATTTCATTAATTTATCTAGACTGTCCACTTGATAGATATAAATCATTGCATAATTTTGTACATTTGATATGTGACAATGATGCACTATTCTTTCAGTAGATTGAGAATTCAATTTCATTAATTTATCTAGACTGTCCACTTGACTCAGTCATTCTAAGAGGGGACTGTTTCTTGCATATGGTATGTCAAGAAAAATAATTATAGTAGTAGCTTCAGTCATTTCTCTCTCCCATATTTAACTGCAGTGCAGTTATTGTTCCTTGTGGTAATTGAAGCTACAAATGGAAGCAGTCTTAATGTCTGTCCATAGACTGTTCTCAAATTGCTCCTAGGCCTTTTGTTGGACTGGTTTGGTTGAGATGATGGGAATGTCAGCAGTGGTATGTTGGGTCTCCTGTCTCACCTATATGGCAGCAGTCTTGCATCCTGGATGTTGGTGTGGTGCTCATAGGGTGGACAACAGCTCCTGGCTCCTGCCTGTCAGAGCCAACTACTAGCATCTCTTATCCTGGTTTCTCCTTCCTAGTCTCAACCAATAGATTTAAGTTCTCTTTATTTTAACTTCAACGCTTTTATCATGTGTAAGAAAACAGTATTTAACCCATTTCCCATTTAGGAAAAAGTGCAGCTTGCTGCCAATGTTCATTTAATTTTCAGTGATTCAGAAGCACTATATTTTATGAATCAAAATGCTACTAAAAAGAGTGCTATAAATAGAAAGGTGTCTTTTTGCAAAGACTACCAGTACACTATAGCAATACAAAAGTAATAATAAAACCATGGTGTTTTGTGTCAGACTTTGAAAGTAAGGTTAGGACAATAATCTGCAAATTCCTAAGGGTAAACACTGTAGCCACAAGTGCTGCCAGCGTGTATTCTGTAGGCAAATGGGAAATACTACTTACAAATAAAACTGTTATTTTAATAACATCTCATTAAAAAACATTATATATGGTTTGTGGTAAACTATTTTTATCAAAACTACTCAGAAACAACCTAAAAGAATCATTTCTTAAATTTACTGATCTCATTCATGCTCAAAATTGTAAGGTAATTTAGGATATTTACCAAAAGATAAATTAAAAGATTATTTTTTGCCTCACATAGCACGGGATAACATACAGACCACTAAGTTCTCCCCCATGCAACAGTTATCTACTAATTTCATTGTACAAAGTAGAGTACTGCTTCTCAAAATTGGAAAAAAAAAAAAAGAACATACTCTAGTGGAATTAATTGGATGTGCTATGCATAGATGTATTCATCTCAATTATCATTTGTGAGATTAGGAAAAATTTAAGCAAAATATTCTTGAATAGAAATAATTATTCAAAAATGTGTCTGTCTTTAAATAGATTTAGGGATACATGGTCTGAAAAAATAAACCATTTATATA